TGGTTAGAAAGTACAATGGAGAAGTAAAGGCAATGTTCCCCTCTGGGTAACTACATTTTTAAGTCAGTCTAGAGTTTGTAGAAGAGAGGGAAAGGAAAATGAGGAATATGGAAACTGACTTATGAAGAACAATTAAAAAAGATGAAAAGATTTGCCTGGAAAACAGAAGTTTAGGGAGACATAATAGTTTCAATAAATATTTACAGCACTAGTAGAAGGAGTAAATTTTCTCATATTGCTGCAGACAGGAAAGAAGTCCCCAAAAGAGAAATCTTAGAGTTATAATAATTTCTACAAATATTTATAGTACTGTTAAGCAAAATATTGTTGCAGATAGAAAAAATATAAAATAAGGGGTGGATATTTCAGAGATATGAGCTTAATTATCAGAGCTATCAAAGATTTTTTGCAAGTACTTATTATCAATCAGTGGTTGAATTACCAGCTCTTATATGATAGAATAAAAGAACCCTATACTGGGGCAGACGCTGGGTAGGATATTCTTTTGAGTATCTTTTTCTTTGCTTATATGGCTAACTCTGTTCTGACAAGTCTTTTTGCCTATTTTTCTACATAGCTGTGTTTTTCTCATTCACTGTAGTTTCGTTTTGTTATTTGAATGGATTGCCAGTTACATCAGTTATAAATATGGTCTCCATTTGAGGCTTGAATTTTCACTCTGTTCATAGTGACTTTTGTAATAGTTAAGTTTATTTTAATACAGTCAAATTTACAAAATTGTATGGATTGTTATTCTTGCAATCTTAAGAAAGTCTTCCTTATTTTGAGTTCATTAGGATTTAATCCTAAATCTTTTCTTTTAGTTTTTCTTTTCACGTTTAACCCTATAACCCACTGGAATTACTTTTATGAGTGGTGTGAGGTAGGAATCCTCTTTTTTGTTGTTGTTGTTGCCCTACATGGATAACCAGTTGTCCTGGAACCATTTATTCAATAGGCCATCCTTCCCAGTGATTTATAATGACATCTCTGTCTTGTACCAGATTCCACTAACATCTGGAGAGTTTCCAGATTGCTAATCTGTTTTACTGATTTGTATATGTCCAACAGCACGTTTTAACTGTACTGCATTAAGTAAGTCTTGATATGTTTTAGAGGAACTCCCTCAACCACCATGACTTAAGTTATGCTTAGCTCTTTAAGTACTGCCCATAAATTTTAGGACTGGCAAGTCATTTTTCACAATAAAACCAATGAGAATTTGACTGGAATGACACTGAATCTACTAGCATATTAAGGATGAAATGCCATCTTTTAGCGTCTGTCCATTCATTTAAAATGGAACTTATTTTGGGGGTCTCATTTTCCATCCTTCAATAGTATTATGTTACCCATAAGGTTTGAAGCAGTTTATTAAGTTTCATTCTTTGGTGTTCTGGTGCATTTCTGCTTTTGTTGCTATTGTAAATGAGATTTTTTAAAAACTGGATTGTCTAACTGGGTGGTTGCTGATTTGCAGTAATATATACTGATCTAGTGAGCAGTACCTTTTCTGAACTTTTTATCAGTTCTAAAAGTTTACCTATTCTTTCATACTTTCTACATACACAACCATACTGTTTGTAAACAGCCACAATTTTGTTCATTCTTTCCTTATAACATATTTATTATTGCTTATTTTCATACTTATATTTTTTTTTTTCATCATGCTACTTAAGTTAGGGCCTCTATGGTCTGGAAAATGTTGAAAATTGGTGATCGTATGCATTGTTGTCTTGTCCATTACATCATTAGGGTATGATATTTTTGGTAGTGGCAGTGCACATTTACTCTTAATTTGATGAACATTTTTTATTATAAATGCGTCAACTTTTGTAGAATTTTTCTGTAACTATCGGGATGATATGTTCCTTTTCTCTTTTTTTTTTTTTTTGTAATGTGGAATCATCTATGCTTCCCTGTCATCATTTATTGTGTTTTTATACTTCATTATATTCACTTTGCTAATATTTATTAAGGATTTTTGTACCTATGTCTCTAAGACTGGTTTGCAACTTTTCTTTCTTTTGCTATTTTTGTCTGTTTTTGGTATAAAGATTATGCCAACATTTCTCTTTTCTATTCTTTAAAATAGTCTGTAAAAGATAGAAATTATCTGTTGCTTTAAGGTTATATGAAGTTTACCTACAAAACCATTTGACTGATAATTTAAAGATTTATAAGTTACACTACCCATAAATTATTCACATTATTTATGGTTAGATTAGCCATTAGATTTATGGATTACATTACCTAATTTAATAAAGTAACACACAGAATGAACAATGGGCTTAAATGAGTACTGTTAAGACATTATAAAGTGAGAATACTATGAAAAATGTAAGCACTAGCAAATAAAGACAGAACACAGCTACTACTAGTATAAGCACTTAATTGATTATAGGTAAGAACAGTGAAATCAGGACAAAAATTTTAATTCTTTTTTTAAAAGATTTATTTATTTGAGAGAGAGAGAGAGAGCGAGTGAGCTCCAGTGGGGGGAGGGGCAGAGGGAGAAGAACAAGCAGACTTCCTGCTGAACAGGGAGCCCCAACTGGATGACTGGACGACTGCATGACTGGATGTGGGGGCTCAATCCCAGGACCCTGAGATCATGACCTGAGCTGAAGTCAGATGCTTATCCAACTGAGCCACCCAGGCGCCCCCCCCCAAATTTTAATTCTTAGGAAAACCATTTGAAATATGGATTTATATCTTCCATCATTACTAATAAAATTCTCCCAAAGTTTATACTGTGTAATAACATACCAGCAGTGAAGTCACGATTACCAAAATATTTAAAAATTGTTTATAACATCTTTATTTCAACCTTAAAAATTTTAATTTATGGAAAGATTAGTACAGATATTGGTGTATATACATGCACACACACATACACACACAAATGCATCAAAGGATATGTGCTCCATTTTTTTTTAGGATATCATGTGCAAGTATGCAAACTTAGAGCCTACCCAATCTATACCACAGAATGGCTTTATAAAAAAAAAAATCTAATTTTATTATTCTCTGCTTAAAGCAATCTGTGGCCCTAAGAAAGTCAAAATCTTTAATATTTCCTGTGTAACTTTCTCATAATCTGGTCTCTATCCATTTCTTTGGCTTAATCTATTAACATTCTCTCCCTTGCTCTCTATACTACAAGCCACACTAGACTAAATGATTCCTATAATCATATAAGATAAGAAGTAATCCAACAAAATCATCAAGAAGACTATTTAAGGTATAGATTTATATCCACTATCATTACTCTTTTCAGTCTTCAGATGAAAAGGATGTTCACACACATTATCTGTGCACTTTGCCGAGAATATCACAGTAATTTAAATAATTTACATTACTTGTTTTCTATATATACTTGGGTTTGCCTTATCACTTAAGTTCATAGAATTACAGAATGTAAGGACTGGAAATTGACTTTTAAAAATGTCACTTATTCCAACCACTCATCTAATGCTTTTGAATACCTCTAATGATAAGGCAACCACTTTCCACTTGGAGAAATGTCTGATCCTTAGAAATATTTCTGTTTCCATCCAATTTTTAGATCCTAATTCTACTCACTAGGCTATTCAAGGAAGTTCTGCCCTACTTTAATGTAATAGCCACACAAATATTTACAGATAACTATAATGTTACTTCTAAGACTTCTCTTCTGTGGTAGTAAGGAAAAGCAGGTACAGAGTATGGAGACTAGTGCTCGACTATCCTTTATGAGTTCGTTACTTCATATTTAATTTTCACATTGCTCTAATGAGTTTGCTATTAATAACGCCAAATAACAAATGAGGAAACTTAAAGCTCCAATAGGTAAAGTTACTTGTTCAAGTAATTAGGTAGCAGAGCTGGTCAACCACAAGTCTGTCAGATACCAAAACCTTTTAGTCTCATTAGAACACTGAACTGCCTTTGACCAAGAGCTCTAAGAGGATATGAAACACGGAAAAGCAAAAAAAAAAAAAGCAAAATTATAAAAATCCTATGCCTTCTACTTTCCAAAATTCTGTGTTGATATTTTTCCCTCAAGCCTCGTATCATAGTCATTTTTGACATTTCTGCTTATAAACTGTCTAATTATTATCTTAATATTTCTCAGATCTTTCTATATAAGTAAACTCCCACAACCTAAAATTAGGGAAGCAAAAAGAGAAAATCATTTCCATATTTCATCCCCTCAATTTTAATCTGTTTTATACAATGAAATGACTATCTTCTTTAAACACTGACTAGATACTCTTCTTTAGAGCCCAAACACACACTGTCTTCTGTGATCAAATCTAATGATGATATTTTCCTGACTTCAAGGACTGACAACACTATCCCTAACCTGTGTTAACAAAAGATACCTGTTCTCTCTTCTCCAGGCAAACAATATTTGGCACCCCCCACAAGCACTTAAAAGGTCCTTCCTTCCTTTCCTCTGTAAATCATGGCTCTTCTTCAATTAACTGTTAGATAAGTCCAACATAGCCTTCATCATTCAGACTTCTTATGAAAAATGTATCTCTATATACTTAATTGCATGATTATATTTATCACATATATTAACTTTTCTTCTTCCTCAGTTACATCATAAATAATTGAAAAAAAATCATCTATTTTTTATTTTTCACCTAAGTGTAAAAAACTGAATAGCAAGTGCTTAGTGTTCTCAGCTATACATTTTAAAAATAATTTATACAGCTCTTTATTTGTATTCTTTGCTTTTAAGCTGCTTGTTAAGATTCTCTCACCATACATTTTATTGTGAAAAGAGACCAAGAGCAACTCAAATTTCCTCTTTTATAAACAAAGTCAAATATAAAATTCAGCACTTCCCTCTATGTCATATAGGTTACTTGCAAGTAATATTACTTCTAAAATACATTTTCTTTATGAATGTAAAGCTTTATGTATATTAAATACTAAAACATAAAATTATGAAACACACACACACACACACACACACACACACACACACACACCACACAAAATCTTACCTTGCTGAGTATTTTGTTCTTGCATTCGATTCACAGTGAGGTCTAAGGGGCCTTCCTGTTCTTCCTGAAGGGAGTTTTCTGCTTGATTCATTTGGATACTTTTACATATTAGACTTGGTCCAATTGAACCATTTCTATTTTCTTGAATTTTACCACTTTTTGAAATATACTCAATTGCAAACTGACGTATCATCTTTTTCATTAATTCCTGAGCAACTAAGGGAATGTTAGGATCACAGTTCTGAGGAAGATCTAGGGAAGAAATAAACATGATAGGCATTAAAAAAGAGAAATGGAAAATACCAATACTTAAACTTATTTTTATTAAAAATTAATGGTTTCAGAAGTCTTCAGTTCAGTCCACAATTGCTAATGGCTTCTAGGACTTAGCAATAGAAACCTTGTAGATTTAATTAGTATTATATCAACCCAAACTTGGCATATTTAATCATTTCTTAAAAACAAACATTTTCCAGGGCATCTGGGTAGCTCAGTCAGTTGAGCATCCCACTCTTGATTTTGGCTCAGGTCATGGTCTCAGGGTTGTGAGATGAATCCCCAAGAAGGGCTCCCCGCTAAACGCAGAGTCCACTTGAGATTCTCCTGCTCCGTCCCCTTTTGCCCCTCCCACCACATGTGCCTGTGTTCTCTCAAATAAATAAATAAACAAATAAATAAAATCCTCGAATGACAACAAAAAAACCAAACATTTTCAGTCCCAAACTTAAATACAGAAGAAGAATTAGACATAGAACAGCAGCTTATTTTCAGGGTTTTAATTCAAATGTATTCTACTAGATATTAAAACACTTAGAATGTGAACATAACTGGTGCAGCCACTCTGGAAAACAGTATAGAGGTTCCTCAAAGAGTTGAAAATAGAGCTACCCTATGAGCCAGCAACTGCACTACTGGCTATTTACCCCAAAGATACAAATGTAATGATCCAAAGGGACACCAGCACCCCAATGTTTACAGCAGCAGTGTCCACAATAGCCAAACTATGGAAAGAGCCCAGATGTCCACCAACAGATGAATGGATAAAGATGTGGAATACACACACACACACACACAAATGGAATATTATGCAGCCATCAAAAAATGAAATCTTGCCATTTGCAACAACGTGGATGGAACTAGAGGGTATTATGCTAAATGAAATAAGTTAATCAAAGAAAGACAATTATCATATTATCTCACTCATATGTAGAATCTGAGAAACAAGGCAGAGGATCATAGGGGAAAAGCAGAAAAAATGAAACAAGACGAAAGCAGAGAGGGAGACAAACTGTTAAGAGACTCTTAATCTCAGGAAACAAACTGAGGGTTGTTGGAGGGGAGGGGGGTGTGGGAGGGATGGGGTGGCTGGGTGATGGACATTGGGGAGGGTATGTGTTGTGGTGAGCTCTGTGAATTGTGTAAGACTAATGAATCATAGACTTGTACCCCTGAAACAAATAATACATTATATGTTAATTAAAAAAAAGGAATGTGAACATAAATTCTAACTACTCAATTTGTAACCTAATATACAAAGTAAGTGCATGCATTAACTATTCAACAAAACATCTAAACTCTTATAACTATTTATTACCATTAAATTGTTCAATTCTGTCAAATATGTATTCCATATATAACCCGAATGTCATCATCAAAAATTTTCCTTTCCTCAACTTATATTGAGAAATTTCAATCATAAAGAAACTAAAGTGATATAGGCAGCCTCTACCAAGATTCAAGAATTGTTAGTATCTTCCATATTTACTTTTTAAACTTTTTTTAATTTGCAGAACCGCTGAAAGTGTAGTGTAGAATTACGACTTTTCACTAAGTATTTCAGCACGCATCTACTAAGACTCTCTATAAAACACAGCAATACCCATTGTTGAGGGTCTTAATCAATCCCTGACCCCAAAACATGTTGATCAGCTACAACTACAATGAAGGTCAGTAGTGATACACACTTCTACTTGAAACTTGTACAAGAGATACAACAACTGAATGATTTTATATAAGAGGTGTAGAATAAGGACAACTTGTAAACATAGTATATAATAGTAATAAGGAGTTTTGGTATTGAGGAAAGTGGGTGGGTGGTGGCTTTTTCACACACACACTTTTGGCCTCACTCTAATCCTTTTATTTACTCTGCTCCTTCAGAGGCAGAACTATAGGTAAATTGGGAAGGGTGACTATGCAGACGTGATTAGGCTCCATAACTCTTCCTCTTAGAAGTGAAACTAGAGATACTAATTCTTTGCTCTTTAAATACCTTAACTCAGAGGGGGAGACGAACCATGGGAGACTATGGACTCTGAGAAACAAACTGAGGGTTCTAGAGGGGAGGGGTGTGGGGGGATGGGTTAGCCTGGTGATGGGTATTAAAGAGGGCACATACTGCATGGAGCACTGGGTGTTATACGCAAACAATGAATCATGGAACACTACATCAAAAACTAATGGTGTAATACATGGTGATTAACATAATAAAAAAAAAAGGAAAAAAAAATACCTCAACTCTTACCCAGGCAGAGCAGTGTTATGTAAATAGGCCTGCTCTGATCCAGGGCTGTCTGAGACTGAAGGAGTAAGTCTCTTTAGTTTTGGGGTTCAACATTAGCTGGAGCACATGTCTAAGAAATCTGAAGGCAAGTTCCCCAACTAACATCTACAATTATAGACACACGACTGTAAAATGCAAGATGGTTTGAAACCATGTAATATATGGAGGTGAGGAAAGGCAACAAACTACTTCCATCATGACCACCACCAAATTTGGTAGCAAAATGTGATCTGGGCTGAAACGAATCTATGGTCCTGCAGAAATATCAATACATTTAATCACAGGGTGTTGTTTTGGAGATGTTATAAAATAAACATGCTTATATTACCTCTTTCAAAACAAAAAAATCTTGAATTCTGATAAAACATCTGAGAGAAGAAACTGGGGGCCAAAAAAATGTGACATTTTAGCCTTCACACTTATTCTTCCTTTAGAACCCAGTAGGGAAGAGAGGCACTACTGTTTTTACATACTGGGGAAAAGAGGACTTAGCTATAGGTTGGAATCTTAGCCATCCTTATGAACTTAGGGTAGTTTCATATCCCTTCCAGGTTTTAATTTCTCTATTCATAAAAATGGAAATGATAACAGAACCTTCAAAATTATAATAGGGCCTACTCACAGGATATTTTAAGGTTATGTAAGATTGTAGGAATACTTAATTCCTGTACTTGGCATTTTAACAATCTAGTAAACATTACCATTAAGATGTAGACTGAGTAGTTATATTTATTTAAGTCACAAAATGCCAAATAAGTAAAAATATTAACTAGGTTAATATAAAATTATTAGCTAACTGGGAGAATACAAAGGACCTAACTTCTAAGTATATTTGATACTTTTTGGTCGAGAATAGATAGTATTATTAGCACATGTACCCTAAATGACATGGCTTAACAAAACAAATTTCCATGTTGTATATAAAAACTCCCAATTTATACGATTTCTTGATTATTACCTCCAGGCATCTTTGAAGGCTTCTGTGAACATTCTTCTCCATCTTTTTCCAAACTTAATTTTGCTTTGTATTATGTGTTAAAAGGAGATACTGGATTTACTTCTTGTAGATATTTTAACTGTGCTGTAATTTATTGATTAATGACACCTTATAAATTCAAAATAATTAAATTTACCAAAAAAGAACAGAAACATACTGGAGCTATAACTTTAGGGTTGAGTTTAGAGCTAAGTTTAAAGCAGAATACATTGTGCTACTCTATTTTTTTTTTCATGTTCTCAGTTTCTGGCCCTTTATATTGGAGAATAAGTATATGTTTAATTAATTAAAAAAAGAGAAAGCCAAAGAGACAAAGAAAATGATTAGGTAGAGCCTTCTAGATTATGTGTACAAGCTGTCATAACTATAAAAAAGCAAACAAGTTAACCAGAGATACAGACCAGGAATTTTAATGTTTCCAAAGGTCAGGCAAGTAATAAATATTTGGCTAGAAGAGAGAATGCTGCCACATGGAAATAGTGTCTACTGTCCCCAAGAAGACAGAAATAACTTATTTTTTGCCCTATCTCTTAATTTTTCGAACCTAATTCAGAAGTTTAACAAGCTTTTTGTAATAGCCAGTTTCAAGATAGTCCTCAACGATTCCAACCTTCTGGATTCATTCTGTTGTGTAGCCCCTTCCATGCTGCATCGGTGGTGGTATGGGTGAGTAACAGCATACTAAAGAAGTCTGTCACTTCCAAGATCAAGTTTAGAAGAATGTGATTTCTATCTTGGATACCCTTGAATGTTAGTGTTTGCAGTCACCTCCCTCCCCCATCCCTACTCTGTCCTTCAATCTCTGTCTCTTATCACTCCCTCTGGAGGAAGCCATACTCTATGGGGAGGCTCAGGAGAGGAACTGAAGTCCCCTGCAAACAACCAGTGAGTGACCTTGAAAGAAGATATTCCAGATCAATGAAATCCCAGATGACTATAATCCTAGCTGACCCCTTGATGGCAGCCAAACATCCAGCTATGCTACTCTGAGATTCCCAGCTCAGAGAAAATATGAGATAATAGTTTGTTTTAAACTGCTAAATTTTGGGGTGCCCGGGTGGCTCAGTCGTTAAGCGTCTGCCTTCGGCTCAGGTCATGATCCCAGGGTCCTGGGATCGAGCCCCGCATCGGGCTTCCCCTGCTCAGCAGAGAGCCTGCTTTTCCCTCTCCCCCTGCCCCTGCTTGTGTTCCCTCTCTCACTGTGTCTCTATCAAATAAATAAATAAAATCTTTAAAAAAAAATAAACTGCTAAATTTTGGGGATAATTTGCTAAATAGTAATAATAAATAATAAAGATTTTGGTACACCTTAGTGGGATGTTGCTGTAATAAAAATCTAAAATGTAGGTTTGGCTTTAGAACCAGGCAGTGAGCTTTGGAGAGAATTAACAATATAAGCCAAAAAGTACCTTGAAGAAGTTGTTTGGTTTTTTTTTTTAAAGATTTTATTTATTTATTCATGAGAGACACAG